GTTTTCTCAGTCTTTTATGCCGTAATTACAAATTACTTTGTTGAATTGCTTAAAAGTAATACTGCYTTTTCTTTTTTCAGTATTATTTGTATTTATGAATTTCTTCCAGGTTAGTGATGAACTTGCAATGAATATTTTTATCAAAAGCTTTCCATTAATGATTTCTGKTTTTSTCAAATAGGTATTTCACRGCAMTTTTCAAAGCAATTTTTTCCTCATATTCAGCGATTAYTTGATTGGACCAGATGACCTACCGTCTGTAAGTTAACTTTCCCTCCCTTCTATAGTTTACTKTTATTTTGCWGATTTTGTATGGTGTTATTGAATCGTGAATTTCTCTCTTGGATTGTAATAACATCAAGCAATACTCMGTTTGGCGAGGACATTTGAAATYTGWCCCCTGACAAATAGTTGATGTAGGGAAGAATGTTTTCTAGTAAATAACTCCAAGCACCGTTTGTCTTTCTTTTCTCGTAGTTTGTGCTAAGCTTAATTGCTGGGTCGTCATACGTCCTTCCMCAGGTTTGTGTCTTGAATCTTACATTTTGACAGACTTAATAATACGAGTATACCTGTTCCTGGATGCTTAGCCAGGGTTGCGCGCGGTCCCTGCTTGTAATGACAACCAATCACAACGCGCGCACATATAACACGGCACCTGATTGGTCCTTGTTGATACTTTTTCAAAAGCGGACAAGAAAAGAAAATAGGCCTTTTGGAGCTAGGGGTCACGTGACCACACCTACCTTAAATCAATCGGCTATCACAAGATGATGTTCAGAAATGGAAAGAGGGGATCAAAATAAGTAAGAAGACAAAGTTTTAAGTCTCAACTCCAAATACTTCAAAAATGACAGCAAATATAAAATCATTTTTTTTCTAAAGAAACATATGCAAAATCAGAACTGGAAAGTAAGCCTTGCTCTCCAGCTCTATTTTCCCATACGTTTCTTTAGAAGAATCAATATTTTACATTTGCTGTCATTTTTTAAGTWWTTCRAGTTGAGACTTGAGACTTTGCGATTTTACCAACATAAACCTGCTCTGTCCATTTCTGAACATCATTTTTTGATAACTGATTGATTTAAGGTAGGTGTGGTCACGTGACCGCCAGCTGCAAAAGGCCTATTTAGTAGATGGAGGCGAGCGAAGTGAAGTTTGCGCTACGAGAATTGTACACTTTTTGTGGACCAACCATTTCTGAATTTGATAGATGTACTTCTAATATTTGAGGATTGCGTGGTACGTTTTTCTYTCCGCGTTCCGTGGTAAGAATATGTTGGCTGTAAACAAATGCAAAGCCAGTTTAAAGTTGATAGCAATTTAAGTGTGACTGTTGCTAGAGGAAACTCCTCGAGACACTCATTGTAAGATGATAAGGTGGGGTGGGGTTTTCAAAGCATTCGGCACGTTCCGACGTCTTTAATCTAATGTGCTTAGTCGCTTCGTTAACAAAATTTCAATCCGTGCATTGCGTTTTATATCCCTATAAACCGACGATGAATTAAACATCAGTATTTTGTCAGTATTTTTAAAAGAGCTCTATATCATGTGACCTGTTGGTCCAATTAATCCTCAAAGGTTTTATTCCAAATGATAGGTTGTGATTTTGTATATGTTTTATCTTAGGTACTTATACTATCGTCCAGCTCACTATTGACAAAATATGGATCTTATCGAMTTATTCTATGGTGTCTTTACATCAAGGTACATTTAGAAAACCATTTTCTACTCGAAATTGAATGAGGGTGCAAAGAAAAWTAATCGAACTCGTGCAAAGACATTATGAACAGACATACATGACTGATGAGTGGCTTTTTTTGCGCTTCATTGCGCTACGTTAATAAAACGATTGATTATATATTCCACTTCACTTTTTTTTAATTTTCTTTCAGTTTTTCATGTCTGGAATTGTTTATATTCTTGGTAGACACCAAATATGGCTTTTAGCTTTTATGTTTGTTGCTGACAGGTAAAGATACAACTAGAGTCGTTTTTTATTAAACTTTTTTATTGTCCGATGATCATAATCGAATCCTTCATGGCTTGTCCATGTTGAGTCCTTACTCCATCCGGCAAACTTCACCGATAGCACTGGGTACCATGACCGCTGCATCGTGACGAGATATGTTTGCTAGAGATCTACAGGAGAGTGGATCTTCGAGAAAGTTGAAAAAGCATTGAAATCTGCGCAAGTTGCATGGGAGTTCTCACTCCTTCTCACACATTGAGTTATAGCCGCATCGGATGAAAAAACGACATGCTATTGTTGCCGTTAGAGAAAACCATATTATCTCCATGCTCACAATCCATTTTCTTTCTCCAGAACATTGCAGTCCGCTTCAGCGTCCCTTTTTAATTTATCGTTGTCGGATATCGTCGACGCCGACATGGAGACATTCAAGCGAAAGTAAGCACGTGATTTTACTTATTTATTTATTTATTTTTCTTGTTTTCTTTTGTGCAAAGTATTGTATWTGAACTATGCGCGGCGAAATGAATGAAAAAAATAAGAAGTGTAGATAAGATARATATAATAAAATAGAAATGTTTTCAAAATAACCAAATATGTCTTTGCTAGTATCAAACTTTAATTAAAAAAATTGACATAGATTTTTCAAAAAACCTCTTACAAAAATAGTTGAATCAACTATCTCGTGTTAATGAATTCCTTCACAGGAGTCCAGTATCGTCCATGATATTTGGTACGAATGCTCTCTTCACGAAGCCTTCACAGTCACTCGCACCGATGATGGTAGTTTATATATTGACAAGATATGGTTACCAGGTAACGTGAATTAACTGTCAATCTTTCATGGATTTAATCCCTTACTGGTAGGCCGATCTAACATTCTTTTCACTGCCTCTGCTAGCCCGGTTTCTTTTATTTTATTTTCCYTGGAGACACATTAAAACAAACGAAATCAGCCCGGTCAACCGGGCTATTCCACTTCATACATTCGGGCCCGATCAAGTCTTATAAAGGCCCGTTTACACTTGCGGTTTTTGAAGCGCGAATGTACATCATTTTGCTCAAACAACTCGAAATTTTAGGTTRAGATTTTATTGAAACTTCGTCAGTATATCAATTATGTTATTAAGAAATGATTCTGAAAATTATATTACAATCTCTGCGATGAGTTTCGAGAAAATTAACTTTGAAGAAAAATGAAGGTGTTTTTGTTTTGCATCGATTATCCAAATGGCTTCGTTTTTTGGCAAATTAATTTATCAACAAGAATTATCGATAATCAATGTGACWTCTGTGAAAATTTGAGTGCAATGGAATCGAAATTTGCGACGTARTTGGAGTTTAAAAATACGCGCGAAGCGCTATTTATTACGATCGAAACACCTTAAACGTACGATTTGAGGTGCGCGAGAACAAAGAGACGATTGTCGCTCGACAAACGGAAGTGTTGAAGTGTAAACTAGCCTTAACGATTGTCCTAATTAATCATTATATTTGCCCTTAATTGTTCGTCTTTTAAYGTATTTATCATGTTTTAATAACGACGTGAAGCGAAAAGACGCAAGTATTTCAAAGCAAAATCCAGGTTAGTAGTATTTATAATATCTTGAAGGTTAGGTTAGCACTCATCTGASAAACACCAAGTGTGCACAGCTCTCATCTTAAACAATCAGCAATGTTAATTTTTCACTCCTTTTTTTAATGCCAGCTGAATACACCATTCTCCAGGACGTAATGTTCAATTTGATGTGCCTAGTACCTTTGTGCCTTGCTTTGGTCCAGATAATAGCCTGGAGGTTTTACACTCTACGCAAGACACGTAATTTAAAATTATATGAAGAAATAGATGTAATAGGAATGTAGCGTAAAAACTGGCCAGATTCTAGCAATTTTCTTTAATACTCTGATAGAGGATGAGAAATAGCGAGCTATTGGTCTTGAAAGGTGGCCATATCAGAATTCCTGAAATGCGCATGCTCGTATTTTGTTTTCGATCATATCCCACATTGCTTAGTGCCCGAACTGCGGTCAGTATTTATTAGTGTATATAATTTAATGGGTAAGGGGGATTTACATGAAAAGCGCTCTTAAAGAGCAAACAYGCGCAACTCAAATGAGTAAATATCATAAAATMAAATACAAAAATMAAATACAAAATAGGTAAATCGRCTTATGCTAATTCCTTTGTTTTCTATTGTCTAATGAACACTATTTATTRGWAATTAGTGGTGTTTGTTTCACGGTTTTAGTGCGTCTACTTTAGTGCGCTTAATCAAGAGCCTTTAACGAAAAAAAAGCACTTTAATTTTCAAGTTTTTGAAAGCAATAGTATTTATACTGATTTTCGATACGCAGCTGTTGGAAAAAATATTCCAGTTTTATAAAATGCTAATTTTAGTGTACTACTCAACTTATATGTATTTTTATTTGACATATAGTTGTATTCAAAGCATGGCTCTTAATTAAATAAAAAAGTAAATCAAATAAAAAAAAATAAAGTAAAATCTTTTGCATTGATATTTCTATTGTTATCTCTTATCGTATAAAACACTACTTAAAACAAACTCTTGCTCAAAATCTCTCATTTGTGTCCAGTTACTGGAAAAAGAAATAACTACGACATTGACAAASATAMGAACTTGATAATAATCCATCCACATCGAACTGACTGATCATGGATTTTTGCTCATTTTCATGTGTCATCAATAGGTAAAACAGAGAGTACGTGCCTCTGCTAATCTTGATATAAAGCTTGGGATATAAAGTACTAATAGCTGATTTGCGAATTTCGCTTCAGTAGTCAAACACAAAAGAATCAAGACGAGGCGCAGTGCATAAAGCTCAGTCAGTTGTGAAAAACTATTGTCTTTTCACGAATGACTGAGCTTTATGCACGGCGCCTCGTCTTGATTCCCTTGTGTGCGACTACTGAGGCAAAACTCGCAAGTCGGCTATTGGATCCTTTTTTTAGGATTATATATAATACATGGGAAATTCCGGTAATCATWTAGAGGACTGTAGACTCAGTTGGTATTTCCTTTGCCAACGGATTGCAGTCAATGTACATGCATTGGAAATGTGTCTTCAGGGCCAAAGCAAGTATTAATTCAAATTGACTCAGTGTTATAACGTCAGTTCTTAATCATTTTCCCCAAAGATCCACCATTTAGTATGTGACACTTCCGWTCGATATCCAACTAATCAAAGCTGGATGTGAACTTAGAAATGTGAGTCATGCAGAGTTGATGATAGCTATTTATTTTGTGTATTTGTTGTTGATTTGATTTACTTTTGTTATTTGTTCGTATCTGTTTTGCTTTTCCTTCTACAAGGATTTGTTTTTTGCAGCTTGTTTTATGGATTATTTTCTGYTGTTTGAATGCAGCCGGTTTGTTTTTCATTGAAAATTAAATAATGTTTTTAATGTARTATATAATTTACCTGCCTAGACTAGCTATATGCTATTTGCAGGTATATATGTAATTGTAAAATTATAGTGAATTTTGAATAAACTGAACTGAACTGAAACTGAACTGAAGATCTAGTCTGCCCTTGACAATGCTCCTTCAAATACAAAAACATTTTACTAACTGATTTTTCAAAATAATCTTTAGATATCCATCGATATTTAACGCAAGAAATGAGAAGAAAAAAACCCCACTCCTTTACTAGTTTGTTCCGAAGAATAATGTTCTGACATTAAATCATCCCAATCGAAACAAACAAGATCAATTTCTTATTATAATTCCTCCATGTGATTTTATGCGCAGAATCAAATACATTTTACGATCTTTAGGCAATTTTCCAAAGTGTTGGGTTRCCTGTGTTCATCAGTCTATCTCATAGTTTACTGAAACTCCGGATGCACGTAAGGTATCACAAAGCAAACTTAAAACCTTGAAAATTGCTTTTTTATTACACAAGAAACACTCAGGAAATTGCATAAAAACATCGTTATACAAAACGTGTTAAAAAGAAAACAATCTGAGCTTGCTAAAAGGTTCTTTTGTGAAAATACTCCACTCAACTCTGGCGCGCAGACATGGCTGACTTTAATTCAAGTCTTTTCAATTCAACACGTCCAGTAAGCACGGCGTCTACTGATGCATGCTACAATCTACTTTCCAAGAACTTAGAATTAAGAATGTTTATTCTAATCGTCTGCATAATGGTAATCCTAGTTGGTTTAACAGGGAATGCTTTGATTGTTTACATAATCGTCAAGAACAAACCGATGAGGGCATCGACCAACTTCTTTCTGATCAACATGGCTGTATGTGACATTGGAGTTGTTTGCTTTATGGTTCCTAAAAAAGCCTCTGAGGTATTAACAGATCACTTAGGCTGGCTCGTACCGGGCTTTACTGGGCGGGTCCTCTGCAAGCTTGTACCATTTCTKCATGACGTTTTCTCAGAGGGCTCAACATACAGCCTTCTACTTATAACACTAGATCGATTCATTGCTGTTGTGCTTCCGCAYAAGCGTTGGCTTTCCTCAAAGTTTATTGTGCTTGTTATAATTTCATGCGCATGGGTYGCRTCATTCTCGGTAAACGCCGTTATTCTCAAAACGGTTCGTCTTGTCCGCTTCAATTCAAAGATCTACTGCATGTCGATCTGGGATTCAAGTCGCGAGGAATTCCTAGCTTATGTATTCACAATGATAACAATTCATTTTATTTTTCCGATTATTTTCATCCCAACAGCCTATACAGCCATATTTCGTAAGCTAAAATTACAGTTTGCTGCCTCGAGGAATTCAATCTCGAACCAAAACCAGATTCACGATTTACTTCGTCAAAGGAAGATCGTCAACATGGCCTTCGCTATCGTATGCGGYTTTGCAATTTGCTGGACTCCTCTTGCGCTTCAAGGAATTCTTCGATTTACTGTGTTTTTAGACCAAGCGGTCCTCCCTTGCCCCTTCAGACGTTTCCAAGACGCTTCGCATTATTTCTTGCTTTTTATTGCTGTTACAAACCCCGTCATATGTTTCACCTTTGGGACGGTGTTCAAAGAAAACTTAAAACGACTCTATCGGCGGCTTTGTGGATGTGGCAGGAGGCGTGCTAGCGTAGCCAACACAGACATTGAACTGAACATTGACAGAGTTGAGGAACCGGAGTAGACGTTTCTTGCAGTTGTGATCTATTGGGTACAACCTATGCCTTCTGATCCTGATCCCTGTAGCGCATCAAATTTGCTCAACCGGGTAAAAATTAAAAAGATCCTTTGATTAATACACGGCCAAACTATAGGAACGGTATTGCAACAACACCATAAAAATCTTTCTATAGTAACTGTGGCCAATGGCGAGCCCTTGAGACACCCCTTGAACAAAGTATTGAAATCCTCCATTACCGGTAACGGCGAAAACTTCGATAAGGATTTTCTGATAAATAAAGGATAAAACATTATAATGATAAACGACATTTTGTATAATATAAAAAAAGAAATCTGATTTCTACAGTTATAAAGCGGTTTATCAAATGTCACTTCATTGAATCATAGTTTTATTCAAATCCTGTACGGATGTAACAAARTAATAGCGAATGGACCAATGCATTTTGGCTTTCAGAGTTAAGCTATAGAATTGTAGCCTTTCGGAAAGAGTATTTGGTGAGAAACAAAAGTATATATGCATTTTATTATCGCCAAACACTATAAAAACCCATTATTAGATAAATTGAAGTAGCTGAGACTGTGTAAATAGAGATAATATCACCTATTTGCAGTGAACACAGCGAAAACTATAATGATTTGTTTGATATAAAAGAAAAATCAAACAAATATCAGTAAAGCGCTTCAGTTGAATGAGATGCTTTTCCTATTTGACTATTAATAAACTAAGTTTAATGTCCATAATTTGATCCATGCCTTCTGCTCRCTAGAAAATTGAAGAGCCATCGGGAGTTTCAGTGATCGTAGTTTTAGTAATTAATAAAAATATAAAAACTGAATGAATGCTCTTGTGCTTGTATTTTTGCAGTCAGTTTCTAATGAACGATTAAGTTATGTTATGTTATTGTGTGAAGTCAACTAAAACYCGCGAAATAGATATYACACTAATACACTTTAGTAGGGTTTTCATTAACCCGTGAAACACACTTAAGCGTATTTAGCGCTATTACACTTTGGCTCTATTGTTTTTTATTGTCTCGGCTACGCGACTATTACGATCTATTACA